GCATAGGTTTACACGTGCCATGGTGGTTTGCTGCATCTGCCAGCCCATCATCTACATTAGGTATTTCTCCTATTGCTAATCATCCCGTAGACCCTCACCCCCGCAGCTATCCTTCCCCTACCCCCTGGTGTGTGATGTTCCCCTCCCTGTGTCCATGTGTTATCATTGTTCAAAACCCACTTATGAGTGAGAACATGTGGTGTTTGTTTTCTATTCTTGCATCAGATTACTGAGAAAAATGGTTTCCAGCTTTATCCATGTCCCTGCAAAGAACATGAACTCATCCTTTTTTATGGCTGCATAGTATTCCACGGTGTATATGTGCCACATTTTCTTTATCCAGTATATCATTGATGGGCATTTGGGTTGGTTACAAGACTTTGCTATTGTGAACAGTGCCACGATACACATATATGTGCATGTGTCTTTATGATAGAATGATTTATATTCCTTTGGGTATATACCAAGTAATGGGATTGCTGGGTCAAATGGTATTTCTAGTTCTAGATCCTTGAGAAATCACCACAATGATTGAACAATGTCTTCCATGGTGATTGAACTAATTTACACTCCCACCAAGAGTGGAAAAGCGTTCCTATTTCTCCACATCCTCTCCAGCATCTGTTGTCTCCTGATTATTTAATGATCACCATTCTAACTGGTGTTAGATGGTATCTCAATGTGGTTTTGATTTGCATTTCTCTAATGAGCAGTGATGATGAGCTTTATTTCATATGCTTGTTGGCTGCATAAATGTCTTCTTTTGAGAAGTGACTGTTCAGATCCTTTGCCAATTTTTGATGGGATTGTTTTCTTCTTGTAAATTTGTTTAAGTTATTTGTAGATTCTGAATATTAGCCCTTTTGTTATATGGGTAGATTGCAAATTTTTTTTTTCTATTTTGTTGTTTGTTGGTTCACTCTAATAGTTTCTTTTGTGAGTTCCCTCAAAATAGTTAGTTTGCATTCTCTTTCTGAAAGGTCACATATCTCTGTTTTTCGAAGATTGGTCCTTGGTGCCTTATTTATTTTGTTTGGTTAAGTCATGATATTTTTGTTACTTTTAAGTGGGGCATTTAGCATGTTTACATTCAAGGTTAATGTTGATATGAACAAGTTTTATTCTGTCATCATGTTGTCAGCTGGTTGTTATGTAGACTTGACTGTGTATTGCTTTATAGTGTCAATGTCTATGTATTTAAATGTGTTTCTGACATGGCCGATAATGGTCTTTTGATTCCATGTTTAGCATTCCCTTAAGGACCTCTTGTAAGGCAGATCTGGAGGTAAATAATTTTCTTAGCAGTTACTTGTCTGAAAAGGATTTTATTTCTCTTCCACTAATGAAGCTTTGTTTGGCTAGATATAAAATTCATAGTTGATTTTTTTTCTTTAATGGTACTGAATATAGGCCCCCAATCTCTTCTGGCTTGTAGGGTTTCTGCTGAAAGGCCCACTGTTATCTTGATGGGATTCCCTTTATAGACGTCCTTCTCTTTCTTTCTAGCTACCTTTAATATTTTTTCTCTCATTTTGACCTTGGATAATCTAATGACTATGTGTCTTGGGGATGGTAACCCTGTGTTATTTCTCAGTATAAATTTACTGAATTTGCATGTCATCTTCTCTAGCAAGGTTCAGGAATTTTTTGTGGACAACATTCTCAGATTTGTTTTCCAAGTTGCTTTCTCCTCTCTTTCTTTCAGTGACACCAATTAGTCACAAAATTTGGTCTCTTCACATAATCTCATATTTCTCAGAGGTTTTATTCTTCTTTATTACTTTTTGCTTATTTTTGTCTGATTGAGTTAATTCAAAGAACTAGTCTTTGAGCTCTGCAACTCTTTCTTCAGCTTTTTCTATTTTGCTGTTAATACTTCCAATTGCATTATGACATTCTTGTTACTTTTTCAGCTCTATCAGCTCAGTTTGGTTCTTTCTAAAGATGGCTACTTCATGTTTCATCTGTTGAATCATTTTAATGGATTCCTCAGATTTCTTGCAACAGGCTACAAATTTCTCCTAAATCTCAATGATCTTCCTTGCCATCCAGATTCTGAATTCTGTGTCTGTCATTTCAGCCATTTTATTTCAGTTCAGAACCATTACTGGGGACCTAGTGTGGTCATATGCAGGTAAGGACACACTGGCTTTTAGGGTTGCCAGAATTCTTGTGCTAGTTCTTTCTCACCTATGTGGGCTTATGTTCCTATAACTGTAATGTAATTTGAGCATAGGCACCTGATTTCATTTCTGGCTTTTTTCAGAGGGCTGAGGCTTTCTGTGTGGCCTTTATTTGTGGCTGAATTCTTGTTCTTGATTTCACAGGGGAGTATATTGTAAAATATTTTGGTTTTGAAGTTTAGGCTGTGATAGTACAATGGCTGGTAGGTAGGTTTTTACGCAGCCACGTGGCTCCTCCGTATTTTCTCGTGTCTGCAGCCATGCTTCCTCTCGGTGCTGTGAGAACTTGGCCCCTTCAAGTACTGGCCACAGAGCTCAGCTTGGCCCTCACAGACTCTGCATCACAGCCCCGCAGCGAGCTTATGCTTTTTGTTCTTTTCCCAGCTTGGGGTCAGTGTGTGCAGAGCCTTCGGCAGTGACAATGGTAGAGAGCCTTTCACTTATCTCTTGGGGATTCACCCCAGAGGAACACAGAGACACCATCAATTGCAGCATTCAGCCAGGAATGGAAAAACTACACGGTGAGCCCAAGGCCAACGGCCCTGCCTGGTGAAGGGCAGAGGATGCAGAAGGCTAATGGGAAAGACAGTCTGGCCTCTTCTCTGTAGGGCTGCTGCAGTGCACTAGGAGTGCAGGTGAGGTACTCAGACTCTTTGTTCCTTCCCTAGCCTGGTGGCCGTAAGGGCAGGTATTGCCATAGTGGCAGTAACAGAGGGGTTGTCAGTCACCTTTCCAATGCCACCTCAGAGAAACACAAAGCAGCTGTCAGTTAAAATGTTCATCCATGAGTGCAGTGGCAGCAAGCCTGAGCTGGGTGTCCTAGCTCGTGAAGAACAGGGCACTGGGGTCTCATGAAAAGGGAGGCTGGTCTCCTCTCTGTTAGGTGGCTCTGACAGGCAGGAGGCACGAGTAAAGTATCAAGCTCTTTTCTCCTTTCCCAGCCTCAGGGCAGCCAGGGCGATACTGCCACAGCAGCAATGGCAGAGGAGTCGTCAGTTGCCTCTCGAAATACCACCTTAGAGAAACACAAAGCCACCACCACTGGGAGTGTTCGGTCTGGGGTGGAAGGGCAGCACTGTGTTCCAAGCGGAGGGCCCTGCCTGCTGAGGAGTAGGAATGAGGGAGGGCTCACAGGGAAGGGAGCCTGGGTTTCTCTCTGTGTAGTGGTTATGGAGTGCTGGAGGTGACGGCAAAGTGATTAGGGTCTTTATTCTCCGCCCAGCAGGAGGGCAGCAAAGGCAGCACTGTTGCAGTCGCAATGGCAAAGACCCTGTAGGTTGTCTCTGGGGTTTTCTCTCCACAGTAATGCAAAGGTACTGTAGGCTGATGTGCTCAGGCGAGGGCAGGCCTGCTGTGCTGGGCGCCCAGGTCAGGAGGCCCTCTGCACAGTGAGGAGTAGCAGGGGCATAAACCCACGTGGAAATCAGCTTGGCTACTATTCTACTAGGCAGCAGCTGTGTGCTGGAGGCAGGTGACAGTTTTTAGGCTCTTTGGTCCCTCCTGAGCCTGACGGGAGTAAAGGAAGGGGCCACAGCAATGGCAAAAATAGTGGACCTGTCAGTTCCCTCCGGAAGCTCAGTGCCAGAGAAGTGCATAGCGGGCACTGGCCTGAGTGCTTAGATGGCGGTTGGGTGTCTGTGCTGGGTCCCAGGTCAGAGGGCTTGTCTTGGTAAAGTGTAACGGAAGGGAGGCCTGCGTCCATCTACTCCTCGGTACTGTGGATGCGGCTTCTATCTTGGGGGACCATAAGAGAGCCTGGCCTCCCTCACTGGCAGAGTGATGGCACCTGGCACCGGGGATCTCAGGACTCCAAGGTCCTTGGGACGCCACATGGGCCTAAGCAGTGCTCTGTCCAGACTCTACAAGCTCTCTGTGTCAGTGTACAGGCCCAGGGCAAGGAGGCTGGTGGGATCTCCAGTGCCCAGGATTGCCAAGGCCTGTGGCAGAAGTTTGGGTCCCCAGAGGCTCTCAATTACCCAACTGTTTCCCTGCCATGGGGAGCCTCCCTTGGCTCTGAACCAATCCTGGATGGGCGACTGTCCAGTCTTGCTCTCTGTGGGCTGCATTGCTTCTTTGATGGATCCCAGTGTGTCCTTCTGGATGGTCCAGTTGAAGAGCTCCTGTTTACTGGCCACTTTACCTCTTCTCTGAAAGCAGCACACACCAGCTACTTCGAGTCAACCATCTCTGCCTGTCCCTCCATTTTTTTTTCTGACACTTCTCTCTTCTCTCCTTCAGGTATACTAATTACAGGCGTATAATTTAATTTGATAATTTTTCAAAACTCATTAATGATTTTTCATTTTTTAACATTTTTCTCTGTGTTTTTATGGATTATTTTCTTGCTATGTCTTTAAGTTTCTTTATATTTTCTTCTACAATGTCTAATCTGCTATTAAACCATCAATATATTTTTTATTTCACATGTAGTTTTCATCACTTGATTTTCAATTTTTGTTTCTTTTTCATCTTTTATAATTTTGTTCATATTTCTGAACATACAGATTGCAGTCATATTAACTGTGTTATTTTTCTTAGCAGTATATTCCAGTATTTGTGCCAGCTGTGGATCAGTTTCAATTGACTGACTTTCTCTCTCATTATGGGTGAAGTTTTCCTTCATCTTTGAATATGTGATAGTCTTGGACTCTATTCCAGACATTGTGAATTTTACGTAATTGGGTACTGGACATATTCGTTTTATTATAAAACATTTGAACCTTGTTCTGAGTTGCAGTTAGCTGGACACAGTTTAATCGCTGAAGTTATTACTTTTAAGATTTGTTAGGTGAGATAATGGTAGTGTTTAGTCTAAAGCAAGTTTGTCCAACCCACGGCCCATGGGCCACATGTAGTCCAGGATGGCTTTGTATGCAGCCCAACACAATTTGTAAACTTTCTTAAAACGTTATGACATTTTTCTGAAATGTTTTTAGCTCATCAGCTATCGTTATTGTGAGTTTATTTTACGTGTGGCCCAAGACAATTCTTCTTCTTCCAATATGCCCCAGGGAAGCCAAAAGACAGGACACCTCTGGTCTAAATCTAACTGCTTCCTACTACTGAGGCAACACTCTTCTCATTATTTAAGCAATGCCCTGTGAGTTATGAGGTTTTCTAATATGGCAGGTGGGTACAGGCGCGATTTGTTGCTCTGGATGAGTGCCAGTTATCATTTCCTTTAATCATTTTTGTATATTATCTTTCACTGCCTCAGATAGTTTCTTCACAGGCATTGATTAATATCCTGCTGCATACTTGTCAGAGATGTTCTGTAGATCAAGACTCTAGCTATCATTTTTCTATCAATCGTCAATCTATTATCTACCTACATATCTATATCTATAATCTATCATCGTCTATCTCCTATCTGTCTTCTATTCATCATCTCCTCTTTGGTATTCTGTGAACTCCAGATGTCTTGTCCTCCTTAGACTTTTGGTTCCTTCTCTTCATTTCCAGAAGGCCCCTGAGGGCTGCCTGCTTTCTCTCCCAGCAAAAGTGCAGGTACCTTTTTTAGGCAGCAATCTGGAGTTTTGGTAGTGCCCAGTGAGTTTGTTTTTCATTCCTCATCAATCACTGGCCTTTTCTGACTGATTTCCAATACCATATAATCATGTTTCATGCATATATTTCAGGATTATTCAGTTTGTTTGTTTATTGCTGGAGGGTAAATCTCATCAAAATCATTTCTTCTTGTTCACAAACAGAAATCCCAATATAGTAACCTTAACCAACTACATATTATCAGTTTTCAGATGCTATAATGTCCTCATTCTATGATGTAGTATACATGAGGATTCCAAAACCATTTGTCTTTTTTGACTTTTAATTTTTACTATCACCGTTTGTCACCTTCACATGCAGTCTAAAGTTAGTCACTGAGCTAGGTGCTAAATTCCTCACCTTATCCACAATATCGGTGGAATAATAATTGATAAACATAGCCTCTCAACAACGCTAATCACCACACTCCAGTGAAACCAAATTCCAATGAGTATTATTTGTCACGCTGTTTATCACATTCTGCAAATTATCCTTGGCCTCCAGATAACAACTGTCTTAAATTTACAGTTAAAAGTAATGATTTTGTGAGATATGAATAGATGCTAAATAGAACTAGTATGGATTTGAATAGTGGCAATTTAGTATACCATCTCACCAAACAGTGAAAACACGTTAAAGTATCATTTGTGTATTTGTGAATAAAGAAGAAATTCATATTCTATGACTTTGAAACTGTTTGCTGTGAGGCACTGAATCATGATGAACATGTGGTTACAGTTTTCAGTCAGCTAAGAGTAGAGAACTTCGAACTTGGAGCAGGAGAGTAATTGGCAGGAGGAAGAGGGGGCGCCATTAGTGTTCGGAATCAGAGACTTACGTGGGCAATAGCATGTATTTTGTAAGGGCATATTTCCATCTAGTCTGTTTCATTGCCAATAAGTGCAGAAAAGAACTGGGAATTAATTTAGAACCTTTGAAAACATATTTATGTGCACATGTAACTCCAAGAGCAACATTTAAGTGTGTCTGGGTAAACTGAGTTACAGGTTAGGAATAATAGCATATCAGGAGCCATCAGAAACCTGGTAATAAATGACCTCAGTGCCAATCCTGACCAATTCCTGCTAACACTCACATCATTACAAAGTGGCAAGTTGTATTTATCTGTATTTCAATATTTCTGCTTTAACTACACTATAATCTGTTTTATTAATTTAGAACCCCAGAAACAAGTTAAATAGAAAATCTAATATCAACGTATGATTAGATAATAGGATAACTTTAAACGTTATTGAAAATATATGTGTGATTTAAAGATAATGCTTCATTTTGAACCAGAAACAACTCCTCAAGAAGGAATATAGCAAACAGTCTCTCAGTTGTTGTTTATTTTAATAAACAATATGCCACTCTGTTTCTGGACACCAGAACCGTGTGGCCACTTTGTTTAGACTAACGCATAGTATGACTGACAGCACTACAACCTGAGTAGCCCTGTTGTTCACACTATGCTATTACTGTGCTGCTACACTATTACTGCTTTCAATATGATTTTATTAATCAATCCATGATAACCATTTAGCGCAGAGTCTGTCTTGTAGAACTCTGCTTATAAATATTAGATGTTGTCACTGTTATTTATAATATTTTCCCTTACAAACATCAAATCCTTTTTCTTATGACTCCCTTCTACTTCAGCAATAAAAGCTCACATTTCTTTTATGGTTGTGCTGCAAGGGTTAAAGTCTGTATGCAAATGTTTGGGTCACATTTAAACTGTTTCTATCCATTAGAAAATATCCAAGTATTTAAATACTTTCTGCCAAAACATGAATTGGTTGCAACTGTATTTCATGGTAACATGTATTAAGAATTACCAGTTTTTCTTTAAAAAGCAACTTTACATTTTAGATTTCATTTAAGTGCATGCTGTAGGGAACGGCTGGAGTCAATTGAAAAACAGACATTTCTCTGATAAAATTCCTTGGCATTGCTATGGGATTTGCTGGTCTGTTTGTTTCCCTAATAGCTGTTGTACTCCACTGCTCAGTCTTTGCCCAGCCGTTCCCTTGGATGATCCTGTGCTTAGCAGCTAACACAGGAGCCACAGCAGATGGAGAAAAAGCAGAGCACCAGAAGTCAGTCAGTGAAGACATGTAGAGGACCGAAGATGTACAATTAGCAAACAATGTATCTGACAATGAAAACTTAATAGAAATGTTTCAATAAATGTGAAATTAATAGCCTTCATGAGAAAGAATAGGTTTTTTCACTCCTAAAGATATATCTGCAATAGCAGTCGCAGAAATAGTTAAGATAAAAGAAATAATTTGAAAATGTCACTTAATTCATGTTAGGGTATAATGGAACAATTCTCCTAGGGCTAGAATGACTCCCCGGGAGTGAGTTAGGCACACCGGGATGCTGCATTAACTCCAGCATGCTAATGAGCCGTCCCGAATCATCAGAGTCTCTGTCTCCCCGGCAGAAAATCATACCCTAGGAGAATCTGACTGATTATACTTAGCCACAATAATTACAATACTAAAGAAAAAAAGATTCCAGAAGCTGAATTTCTCACATACGCATGACAAATTTGCCACATGTACTGATGTTGATTTTATCTTTCACAATATCCCTGTTGCAGTTATTTCGAATGACAAAATAGCCATTTCTTAGAAATCAAATCAACTGGGCTAAGAAACAGATCCTTTGAAACTTTTATTTAGATCATTCATATTAAAATTATTTGAGGATACAATAAATTCAGGATTACAATCAAGTGTGGTCGGATACATCTATTCCACCTTGCTGTTCATAGTTTTACATGGTCATTAGAGAAGAAATTAAGAAAATAAGAACACTGGAAACACAAGTATAAATGGTTGCTATAGGAGAAAGCTGAGAATGTTCTTTACCATCCTGAGGATGAGTAAGTGTGCTAGCTAACCCACTTGCACAGAATAAATCAATATGGAGTTTTAAAATTAAAAACAGCTGTGTAAACAAGCCAAGAGTTTGTCTCTCCATTAATAAAATGTACATGTTTAAATCACTGTAAGTACTTATTTCAATACATTGCAAATAGTTTGTTAGAAATTTAAATTTTTGAACAGACATAAATGTAATTTTTTATTTTACTAATAACTAGAAGACTAGTAAAACACTATAATCACTATAGTTTACATATTTAGCAAGAAATTAATATTTTATATTTTATCTTCAAATATTTTTGGGTAGGGTATATATTTGTACTAGCATTAGAAAGACAAGTGTAGATATATTCACTCTCTTTTTACTTTATTGTGTTTTGAAATATATATGTAAAGAGCACGTCACCTTCAACATCATTATTTTACTACCATTAGACAAATATCTATCTGCTATTAGACTTCAAAATTTTGCTTTATGAATTTTATAAACACACAGAGGTGTACTAGAGACACATCATACCATCCCATGAGAGGAATTTTGTGCACATTTAGAATCCACATTGAAAGCTTGAAATCTGCCATATTGGGATTATTTACATCACAGAAATACGCGAACACTACAAATCAGAGGTGATTTATTTTCTTGCTATTAGGAGATTTCATTGTTCACTATTTCCAAGACAGTACTACAAACATAAAGATATAAATCTGGACACACTCTTGCTGTGGAAGAAAGAATTCTCCTTTCTCCCATTGCTGGGAACTGTGCTTTTTACATTACATGGGAAAATGGACTTTACAGATGTTATTAAGGCTATATATCTTAAAATAGGTAACTTCTTTTAAATTATCTAGGTAGGCACAGTGTAATTCCATGAGACTTTAAGAGCAGAGAACTTTCTCAGACTAGGATGGGGTCTCACCAGAGGGAAGCTGCAGAGAGATTTAAAGTGTGAGGAGTACATGACCCATTCTGCTAGCTTTGAAGATGAATCGTGTCACAGGTTAGGTTTCGCGGGAGGCCTGGAGAAGCTGTGAATTATCCCCTGCCAGAAAAGAGACATTAGACCTACACCTGTATGGAACTGAATCCTTCCAACAACCTGAATGGGAATGGAAATGGAGTCTCCCCTAAACCCTGTTGATAAGAGCCCTCATCACTGATAACTCGACTTTAGCCAGTGTGACCAGGAGTGGAGAAACCAGATAAGACCCATCAACATCTAACTTTAAAATTGTAAGATAAGAATTTCATCTTATTTTAAAATGCTGAGTTGGTGGTGATTTGCTATGGCAGCAAGAAAAAAATAAGTATATTTACACAGATACTTCATGATCTAATCAAATTCAAATACTTAAAAACATGAAAATTTAAATAATCTGTAAATCATCTTTGCTCGTGACCTATGCTTTAATTCCCCATCATTTTTTCCAACTTAGCATTCACAATCCTAAGCAAGCGGGCAGCATGATCCTCATTACTTTCTG